AGTTTGACCGAATTAAGTTGGTTAGTTAGTTTTTACAAAAAAAAAAAAGAGGAAAAACAAAATAAATATTAGTTACATTTTTCCGGCTATCAAACATATTAGCATGCGATCAGTTGCTTAGCAGCGTATGGAATTCACAAAATTTTTTTTTTCTTTTTTTACCACTAAATTATACCATCAATTTTTTCGTTTTTCTTTTTTAAACGAAAAATTGAAAAAAAAAATTATTTTAGACTAGTGAGAAATAATTTATAACCAAAACAAAAAAAAAAAAGTTGTTAAAATTTGATAAGTAATAAATAAATGAATTGGAAAGGACTGAAATAATTTGAAAAGAATAAATTGTGGCATTTAATATAGCAGCTGGTGATGAACATCATCATCATCATCATCATCATCATCATCATCGTCATCATTATCATCAACTATTAGTTATTGTATATGGATAGTTAGCGATTACTAAAATGAAAAGGCGAGAGATTTGCTTGGATAGAAGAGAATATCTTCTCTCTTCTTTCATTCTCGTTTCTTGAAGAGAGTTTAGTTTGGAGCAGATGTTCGAAGATGAGAAAAGATTTTTGAAGGACATGTTCATGTGACAATTCAACTTTCCATTTTTCCTTCACCTCTTTTCTCCATATCTCTCTCTATCATTCCTGCTTCTTTTTTTTGTATCAGCTTTACGGGATAATTTCATTTAATTAATTCCATTTCTATTAAAATTAATCCTTATTCTCTTTATAATATTAGCAATATTATAATAGTCAAATCTGTATAATTTTTTTTCGATAAACTATTCCATCTGTATTGATTAAAATGAAACAAACAAAAGAAAAAACGAACGAACGATCCACAAAGTTTAAGAAAAAGATTAACTTAAACTGTATACAGTATATATTAGTATTACATTAACTATCCCATCTATATTAAAAAAAAAAAACGATGCACAAAATCTAAAAGATAGGTTAAATTACTTGAAATGAATTTATTAAATTTAGTTAATTGATTAACTACAAAAAAAAAAATGATTCGTGATGGCAATTTTACCATCTTCATTTTAACCAATAAAATTGTTACAATGAATTTTTTGAAATTTGATTTTTCTCTTCAATTTTTAGGACTGAATTATTTTAAATGAATTTATTAGATTTTGCTAATTGATTAATTTAGCAAAATACAAAAAAAAATATACTAACTATGCGATCGCAATTTTAACATTTTCATTTCAATCAATAAAACTATTACAATGAATTTTTTAAAATTTGACTTTTTAAATTTCACGAATCGTATATAGTCGAATAGAGTTAGCAGCAAATATTATTTTCCATTGGCTATTTTATTATTTTCAAATGGCTACTTTTCATTGCTGCTCACAGAAACGAATG